CCATATTGGTACTTTCTGGTGGTCCATCACACCATATTGGTACTTTCTGATGGTCCATCACACCATATTGGTACTTTCTGGTGGTCCAACACCATATTGGTACTTTCTGGTGGACCATCACACCATATTGGTACTTTCTGGTAGTCCATCACACCATATTGGTACTTTCTGGCGGTCCATCACATCATATTGGTACTTTCTGGCGGTCCATTTCTACATATTGGTATTTTTTGGCGGTCCATAACACCATATTGCTACTTTCTGGTGATCCATCACACCATATTGGTACTTTCTGGTGGTCCATCACACCATATTGGTACTTTCTGGTGGTCCATCACACCATATTGGTACTTTCTGGTGGTCCATCACACCATATTGGTACTTTCTGGCGGTCCATTGCTACATATTGGTACTTTTTGGCGGTCCATAACACCATATTGGTACTTTATGGTGGTCCATCACACCATATTGGTACTTTCTGGTGGTCCATCACACCATATTGGTACTTTCCACCATATTCTTACTATAAGTACTATCATTTCAGGATAGATTGTCAACTTCCTTCCAACCGGAATGAGGGCGAGGTTGACCTAGGCACTGACAACACTTCGCTGGTAACTATCAAGAAACTACCCTCAAATTCCTATGTAGGTTTCCTTCGTGTAAACTGCAGTGGGAAAGATACCAATTCTTTCTATTACATATAGGAAAGATAAGCTAACCTTCACTCTCAATCTCGTAAGTGAACCTTAGCACACGACGCCCCCTGATCAAGCCGGGCCTCGAGCCGGGCTTGGGGAGTAGAAGAACTCCCAGAACCCCATCAACCAGGTATCCACCAGGTATGGCATTCAACAAAAGGTGTTGAGTATTAGGTGTTTGCAGGAATGTTATCTGTTTGCAGTAGACGTCCGGTTGAAGGTTAAAGTCAACAAGGACTGTTCAACAGTATCTTTGTAAAAAAAAAATGGTAAATAGTGCCTCCAAGGACAGCCGTAGGGACGCCATCTGGTGGTGGTCGCAGCTATGAGTAGATGGACATGTACACAAACAAGTGAATGATGATGGAGGACTGAAGATGGAGGGGATGAAGGGTTAGGGTGGAGGTGTGAGAGGGGGGGATGAGGGTGGAGAGTTAGGGTGAAGGGGTAGCGGTGAGGATAGAGGGTGAGGGTGGATAGGAAGGAGTGAGGGGGAGAGAGAGACCAGGACACCCAGACCAAAAGTGAGCTAAGCTCAGACGCTCACACTCTGTGAACAATATCAAGTTAAAACAAAAAATCACTTTGACAGCACCAAAATATATACATATACAGGGAGAGAGAGAGAGAGAGACAGAGAGAGGAGAGAGAGAGAGACAGAGAGAGGAGAGAGAGAGACAGAGAGAGGAGAGAGAGAGACAGAGAGAGGAGAGAGAGAAACAGAGAGAGGAGAGAGAGAGACAAGAAGAGACAGAGAGAGACAGAGAGAGACTATTAATCTCCACAATGTACTCCACAAACTTAAATCACTCTACTCAGGTAATTTTTGTCATAGTTGAGCCAGATAAGTTCAGTCTGAGACAACTACGCCATTGTTCTAACCTGTTGACTCCTCCCTCACCCACCCTACCCACAACTTGCCTCAAAGGAAGACGTCCTCCCTATAGGGTAAAGGCAGATAAAGTTCCCGTCCACAAGGGCGAGGAGTCGTTCAGAGATTAGGAACAACATAGACCTTTGTCACTGGTTCATATTGGCCAAATTCTTCATTCCATAGTCTAAAATAATTGGCAGCATTTTCTGGCCATCAGTAGCTACCGTGTGGTCTGAAACATGGTGTTATGGATGGTAATTTGTTCTGATCTCATTTATCTTCTCCACTGCAAGGTCAAATGGGTTATTGCACTGGATATTGCTAATGGATTTGACCGGTTGTGACATCTTGGTCTACTTCAAGCACTGGATATCTCAGGCTCAAGATTACAGATAATTGTGAACTATCTTGAAGAACCTGGGGCTAGATTCACGAAGCAGTTACGCAAGTACGAACGTATACATGTTTCCTCAATCTATGACGGCTTTGGTTACATTTATTAAACAGTTTGCAAGCATGAAAACTTGTCAATCAACTGTTGTTATTGTTATAAACAGCCTCCTTCGGTGGTGCTTCGGAGCTCATTAACTGTTTAATCTTTGTAAACAAAGCCGCCAAAGGTTGAGAATAGATGTACAGGTTCGTAAATGCTTGTGTAACTGCTTCGTGAACTTGGCCCCAGTTCTAAGAGTTGTCCTTAGTAAAGCACAATCTGAATGTCTCTCAACTGGAGCCAAACTACCGAGGGGCGGCATGCTGGTTGTGGAATGCGTACCTCAGTTATCAACTACTCATTCCCGAAGTCTCGAATGACCACTAACTACAGTTACAAGAGAGGAAGTGCCAACTACAACGAGGGTCATTGATCACACACCTCTGCAATTCCTTCTGAGGTAGACAACGGCAGGTTACACTTGTCGTGAAT